CACATTCGCTCACAGCAGACGGCTGTCACCAAATGCTCATTGTACAGTTTTTTTTCTGGATTATTGTAGAGTCTTTACCTTACAATAAGGCGCCTTGAGGTGAGTGTTGTTGTATTGTATACAGACAAAAGTGAATTTAACTTATCTCACTAACTCACTGGTCTATTGTTGATTCTACATTATTGCTTCTTCTTTATCCATATCTGTATTTCAGTTTTGCTGCTATTTGCATCAGTTAGTTAGACAATAAAATGCACTGTGATGTACTGTGTGCACAGTCAACAAAGCAGAATCTCAACGGATCCCCTGCATGTGCCACATTACTTGCTGCCCTGAATGTGCACCGAGTCACAGCTGATTCACCAAAATAAAGCACTTTAAATCAGCAAACAAACAAACAAGGGAGTGGAATCAGCCCAATGGAGATTCTTACAAGCTGTTCATCTTTCAGTGCATTTTAAAAAGACTGAGCATCTAATCATCCAAGTGGAATGATTTGTGCAACTAAACAGCAAAACTGAATAAATCTACTGCGTTTTCTCAGATAGTTTTTGTCAGCTTTGCTCCTCAGAACAAAAAGTGCTGCTTTATCTCTTAAGAAACAAATTGCTGGCGCCGTAGGTGCAAATTCCCCGCTTTACAGGGTGTATTTCTAAAAAAAAAAATCTGATAAAAGCAGGACGTTATTATTTACCTGCAGTTAGCTGTCTAAATTTGGTGAACAGGAAGCTTGAAAAGAACCGTAATAAGAGCAGTGTTGTTTTCACTTTAAATGGAAACAAGAAAGGCTGAAGCAGATCCTGAATGATGGCAAGAACAAAACAGAGACAGTTGCATCACTACAGTATCTTAGCAACAGATGTATGCCTGTTTTGTACCAAATACAAGGAAGTGGAAGAGCCAGGATGGAGACTGACAGAATGGCAACTATTAAGCCATCTCCCAGAGGACCAGAGGTCCCACTTACTCCGTTCTAAAACAGGAAGCCGCTATATGAATTCTTCTAGAAATGTTAAACTGGGCAACAATAAAATCAAATACTTTTCTGTGTCAGACAGGAAAATTACATTAACAGGGTCTTGTAGACAGTCAGAGGCGGATACTGAGGATGTTTCCCCCCTCTCTAGTAAATGGCTCAGCTTTGCATCTTTGACATTTTAGAAATGGTGTTATGCAAAGTGTTTTATTTGGCCTCCTACTACACATGCAAATAAATACCTGCTAACAGAAAGACTCAACGTATGTACTGTCAAATCTGAACTATTATTCTGTTGGATTTATAGAAAAAAAAAACATGTTACAAACTTACAAACTACTAATTGGAGGCAGAATAATAATCTTACCATCATGATTGTAGCAGCTGTAGCATTTATGTATGTATGTATGTATACGTCTGGATGTATCCCATCTCCTCCTTCACGAATGAACTAATCTGAATAAAACTTTGCACAAACGTAGTTGCACATACAGTGATTATTAACATCTATATGATTTTTAAACAGGTTTATGGGGAATTTAAAGCCTTATTTTTCGTATTCATACTATGTTTTCTGTCAGCATCCATTTCACGTGTCACACTCTTTATGTTAGTTAACAGTAGGGCTTCAACGATTCATCGACTAATTCAAATAATTCAATCATAAAAAATTCTCCACACTAATTCTGTGCTCCGATGCTTCGGTCAATGCACGCTCTGCAGCGTGCAACTGTCACTATGGAAACATGAGCGTTTCAACCACAACTGAGGCAAAATGCAGACCTGCAATACAAACGTATTCAGGAGCAGCGTTTGAATAAAAGTCTGACAACATTCAGCCCACATGACTCCAGTTATAAACAAAAACACAGAGTCTGTTTGCACACCGCGAGAGCAAAGAGGCGGAGCCGCTACCGACACGGTGAGCGCAGGTAGAGTGAAAGACGAACGCGTTTCCAGCTGTTTCTATTAAAATATAAAGATAACCTGTGAACGTGGTCTGATACCAGACTGGTTAGATGATACAGCTTAATGAAGGCTTGTTGTGTTTTTGTTAGTGAAAGTTACATTTTCTGTTTAGTCTAAATTAATTTTATTTCTTTTAAGTTTGTTATTTTACCAAAAGATATCGCGACTATTGGAGAAAGCCTCAAGTGTTCAGTCAAAGAACTGCATGTCTCAGGACTTAGACGCTGGCTTCAGTTTTCACCCTCAGAAGCTGCCACGAATTAATTTCTTGCATTAATTCATCATAAATGTTTATAAACAGTAAAATGAAAATTAAAAAAAAACTACAGAAGGAGAAATATCAGTAGCTCAGATTTAAAATCAACATGACACCTTCAAGCAGTTCAGCTTCAAAGTTGTTCTGTGCCGTTTTAAACGGTGAATGATTTGTATATGAGAACAATGCTGGTTCCTTTGTGGTACTTTACTATTATTTACACATGAAAACTAACTAGGCTAACTTGTAAAATATCAGTGGAAACTGGAGAGAAACAGTGGTCAGTCAAGCTAAACGCACAGAAAGGAATTCAACGCTCCTGAGTGCAATTTTAACCTCATACAACAAAAACCTGTGAGCTGAATATTCTTTACAAACAGAAACAGTTGTCAGAGCATCACAGTGGTGAGCACAGGGTGATATTATTAGACTGTCGCTGGTGTCTTTTCATGGAAGGAACCAAACACCTACCAGCCAATTTCAGTCCACACTGCTTTCAGAATCAAATTTACACCCCTTCCCCTTGTGTGTCAGGCTGTTTAATCATGTGCTGCTCCTCTGCACCACCGCACAGACTGGAGGTGGACTTGCAAAGGTTTTCAACAACCAGTAAACAACACTGTGGACAGTGCGTTTCAGGCTTCACTCATTAGCGGCAACCAAAGTTGTCGGACCAGGTGACAGATGGACTGACATGTCTGGGCAACCATGGATACTGAGCCACAGCCAAAACCATTCATAGGGAGAAAAAAGGAGAGGCTTCTGGGTGAATGCAATGTAGAAAAATACTCAATTTTATGCTCTGACAGTCAGAGCAGTGAGGCTGAACGCTGAATTACACAAGGAAACCCAAGTCTTGAGAAAAAGGTGCAACGGTCAAATATTAGTGCTATTATCTAAAGAGCTCAGGGTGGAAGCTGTGGAGTTTCTCCGTCTACCTCGTCAAAGCTGGAGTTTAGCTTAGCAGATCTTTTCTTTATAATATACAACACAACAAATATTTAGGCCTGAAGTACATATTTAATACTTATACACAATTGCTAGGTGCATTAGGTACTAGAGGTGCTCAACAAAAGCACCATATGGAGTGGCAGAGGTAAAATGCACTAACAGGTGCAGTACAACACTACGCTGTATTTGAGTCAATAGAACAAATGACAGGAGTCCTGAAATTCAGAACGCAAAAGGAAACGAATATTTGAAATGAAAGGAGGGCGCACCTCAAGCCTCACAGTTAGATCAACACCCATATATAGGTTTAAAAAAAACCCAAAAAAACCAAAAAACAAAACCCACAGTTTCGGGCCTCGGTGCGTTATCACAATATTCCTATGTAGAAATTATGCATTTACATTTTCCCCACTGCAGGTGTGCATTGCAGCCACTCTCCACACACTGTATTTGCAAATTTTAGCTTGTTTAGGACAACACGGCAATGGCATACTGTGAATACTGATTGACTTTAGTGATCTACTGCATTTTTGATTTTATTTTAAAATATATTAATTAGATGCATCATTAAAGGAAATGTAAAATTGAGTATGTAAAACAAAAAAAAATTCAGTATCATCAAAAATACCCAAAACATGTTTCAGCTAACTGTCTGCGTGTTAGCTGGCGGGCTACAGATCTATTTCACATATCTATTTGAAATGACACACAATAAGTGTCAAAGTCTTTAAGCCAGTTAGAACTTGTACACAGATATGCTTTTGCTAGCGATCAGCTAACTACAACTTAGCACAATGAGGCGATTAAATGAATTGGCTAACCTTATCTACTCAATACAGGATTTTGCTACACAAGTTAACATGCACACACTCCATGTTAGCACACATGAAGAGAAAGAAATATAGCTTAGTGTTGGAATTAATCCCAAAAATAAAACAATTCCATGATGAATGAAATGCAACTTTCATATCTGTAGTAGTATTATTTTAGAGGACTAGCAAATGTGGTGCATGCTTAGACAGAGGTTATTTACAACCCCAAAACATCCCTAAACTAAACTGTGGCAGTTTTATATTACCTTCTGCCATCCTAAAATATGTGTGCAAGTTGTAACATCCAGGAATATCTGTATTATTGATTGATATCTGTATTATTTAACCTTTACAATTTTTTTTTCTTATCTGGAACCAGATTGTCTGGGTCTAATTCATGCTTGCCATTTCCATCTCTTGGAGAGGCTTTTCATACATCAAAAAAATAGTTTTGGGCAGAATGCTTCTGTAGACTGCAGCGCATTTTAATGAGAAATGCTTAATTTCATAATAATCCACACTCTGAATGTACCAAAGACAGCAAAATACTTTGTCCTGTGAGATTAAACGCTGGCAGTCTGACGACTCGGCATGTTTTTCAGCAATAAGAGACTCTCATATGTTCAGAACTCTTCGAGCGCCTGCTGTCTGTTTGGAATTAGTCTCCATGGCAACGGACCAGACCGTCTGGCTTCAGCAAAGTAGTGCTGATGAAGTGGTGTGTTATGTTAATAGTCATCGGAGAAATAAGACCCTGAAAATATACAGTACATTTTGCAAGATTCCCCTATGGACTTGTTAAACTATAATTTAAGCTTAGCATACTTCTCACCTAGACATGTTTATGCAAGATGAGCATCACTGACAGTGAGTGCAAGCATCGGGGGGCAGTAATAGTAAATATCTGGCATGTAGATGGTTGTAACTTTAGAATAACTTTATGACTTCCCTCTACCCCACGATGCCTGTGTTTGAGGCCCAAAAAGCTGCAGCGGGGGGAGTTAAACGGCAAGAGATAAAAAGTTCTGTGCCTCACCTTGCCACACTTTGACACTGACTGGCCACATTGGATGGAGTCTGAAGCCTCTCATCGATGCTCAGCGCCTGAGGACCGAGTCTCCTTCCCACCGTCTGTCCAGCTCCTGCCTGCTGGTGCCGTTGCTGCTGCTCCTCTTCATCCTCCATCTCCTCGTTACCTGGCTTCTCCTTCCCTCGGCCCTCACTCTCGTTGTCGCTCTCCTCGCCTAAGATGTCATCCACCTATTATATTTTTGTTAAAAGGAGCTTTGTGAGCACATTTTTATCTTCTTTAACAGCAGCATGAATTCACACTGTAAATGCCACAAATACCCTTTTCATTTTGCATTTTGGCCTCCTCTCAAGTGCAAATTGGATTCATTAATTCCCTTCCTCCACGGAATACAAATTAAATCAACATGTCTTTATTTCTATAAGAAACATCTGGCAAATAATACATAAAGCTCCACTGAATCCTGGGAATCTTTAGTGAATATGGCTGTGAGAGAATGTCTGTTTATGCCCTCAGCCTTTCAGTGAAAATGCATTTAACAAATTCCAACCAAAGATTCGGTACGGAGGAACAGTTACACATCTACAGACATTGTGCATTACTGGAGAACACTGACATAAAGGACACTAAACAAAATACCTAAGAGAAAGGCCCATGACTGCAGCACATAAATTTGGATTTAAATATTTATTTCATGATAAGAATTGTTGTTTTCTTTTATTCATTTAAATTTCAGATCTTTATGTAAGACCACAAAAATTAACAAAGGATGTTATGTTTTCCTTTGGCTCATTTTTATGTGTTTTCCTATTCTCTCTAACCAACACACACACGCACGCACGCACGCACGCGCGCACGCACGCACGCACGCACGCACGCACGCACGCACGCACACACACACGCACGCACGCACGCACGCGCAGACTTATGCACTACTAGTTCTTTATGCTAATTAAAGCATGACCAAGAGCAAGGTAATAATGAGGTCAGTCTTTGTAACAGCTGTGAGCCAAAGGCTTCCAGGACACTTTCCTCTCTACTCTTGACTCTGAAATATCAAACAGGAAGCCTATCACGAATATGGTCATCTCAGGTACACAGCTCTGGCTCAGGAAGCCTCACTCATCACCTGCCTAAACCTTTTTTTTTTAATTGAGGAGCAGCCAATCAGATGAAAGATGGCTTAAAGGGGATGAGGAGCTACAGGAAGCTTTTTTTTCAGGAAGTGAAAGAACTGAGGGACTGCACCAACATTATATAAGATAAATACAATATATAAGAATTTCTTAAGAGCTGTGAGCCTCCAAAAAGGAAAACATGAAACAGAAAATAAGTGTAGTGGGTGCCCAAATCTCTGGAGAGTACTGCAGCAAGGTAAAGATTAGCACATTTCATTGTTTGCCATTAAATTTCCGATGATGAAAAGCTCTATTAAAGGACTAATTCCTGTTCAAATTATCATCAAGGAGAACCTCGTACATTAGTCTGTTCGGTTGATCCACTACAGATTCTAATTATGCATGTAATTATATCTGGAAAGCACTTTTCCTTTTCCATATAATTGGGTAATATGCTGTACTGTAATGACGGTGATTAAAGTTGGAGGGATTAAAGAAGCTGGAATCAGATGTTTGATGCAGGTACTGTTGTATTAGTTCAAAGATAAACAAAATAAAATAATATTAATAATCTAATTATGTGCTGCTTATTTTATGTCTTCCTTTGTTTATCCTATATAACTCTCATAAGGATTACAGTTTAACATTGGTTTATTTCCTGGCTTGTTAAATTAAATTAGAGAGACGGTTGCACTGTCAAACAGTCAATGCCATACAAACTTCCTGTAAAAATGTCAACTTTTATTTTAATATTTCCATTTTGATGAATTTTATCAAAAAGTTAATTAAAAAATATTACACTATTTTAAAAAAAAACAACAACAAAAAACCAATAACAAAAGCTCATCAATCCTTTATTGTATTAGCTGCTCAATTTATAATGGCAATGGCTACGGACCAACAAACTACCCAACTGGCTGCTTTCAGATCAATAGGAATGAATATAGCCTCAGCAAATGTCCAGTCTTTGACCTTAACAAGCATCAAGCTGAAAGTGAGATTAATGAGAGGGGCGTAAGTCAGGATCACGTCTGACATCAAACCAGGTTTTGTTGGTGGTTACATGAACAACACAGTGTGCCTTGGTTAAGGTAGAGGGTAAAAGTGCCAGTAGTAATAAGTCTGATGTAAAAATGGAGAAAGAAAAATTTTTAAAAAGGAGGTCAGGTTGTTCCTCGTGTTCCATTTGCTGAATCAAATTTGAATCAGGTTAACCCTTTAGGGCACCAATAAATTGCAGTGTAAGACAAATAAAACAGTTTTTCTTTTTATGTCTGTCAGGAAAACAAATGAATATTCATCATTAATTCCTTCTAAAATATGATCATCTCAGTCCAGTCTGCCCACGACGATCTACCATGAAAGCGAACACTAACAATCGTTTAGCCTCGTCTCTGTGGCAGCTGCTAAGGATTTAAATGGGTTCTATTTTTCTGTTACTACAATCAAAATATGAGGGACAGATGGGCTGTTTATTAAAAAGCAGAACAGTGTAAAAAACATTTGTAAAAACTGGCTTAGGAAAGCTATTTCATCTAAATAAAGTTAACATTCTCAGGTTTACAGTTATGATAAACAGACATTTGAACCAACACATATGAGGTTCTGACACTGCAGCTACTATATTTAACCTTGATGGAAACAAGTACTTCACCAGACTGCAGTGTCACAAACAACCAGCCTAAAGACTACGGTTGATGTGCTGGAGGTCCTTCCCGGCTGTGGAAAAGAACAAAATTATAATATACAAAGATACTGGCAGTCAATGATACTACTCCTCAGGCTCCTAGTAGATATACCTGTGGTAACAATTTCAAACTCCTCGTCGCCTTGTTCTCGAGTTATTGCATTCACAAACTCGGGAGTCCACGCTGCCCGCCTGCTCACCCGGCAGGGTGACAACAATACCCTATCGGCCTTTCATAGCTGAGGGGTAAAAAGCTGAAGTGAAACTGACTTTAAAAGCAATGAAAAGCACCAACAGCAGCTTCTTGCACCTCTGCTGTTTGTAGTGAATTCTGTTCCCTTCCACTTCACAACCAATCGGCATTAGATCTACGCATTAAGTCATCCAAATTGAACTGCATTTTTGGAGGACTGAATCGGAGTATGTTTGTGTAGGCTGCAAACCGCTCAGCCATCTTAGGCTCTGTGCAGCCAAATACTTTAGCAAAAAGGACATTCAATTAGATTCTATTTATATATCAAAACTTTAAAAAAAATACAATAATAAAGAGAAAACTTAACAATCACATGACCGCCTTTGGACAAGCACTTGGTAACAGTGGGAAGGAAAACTTCCATGAACATATCCAGAGTATCCCGTGTCAGAAAGCCAAAAATGGAGCAATATTTTCTTAATTTGTAACTAAACATGATTTCTCCTTTCTTCCTGATAACTGAACAGGTGTTCAAATGACACGAAATGACTCTACTTAGATTTGGTGCCAACATTTGGAATCTACAACTAGCAAGCTCTCTTTTTCCGAAGACCATCTTCTAAAAAAAGAGCCAGTTAGCCTAGCTTGCATATCTCAGCTCCTAACTTACTCGGCTAACTAGCAAGTACCAAATTTGCACAATAGTTACCCTAAAATGCTCAACAGTTTGATGAGTAAGACCTACCTACATCACAACACAATGGAACAGGGAGTAATGGCATGCTTATTAAGAAGTTTTGAAGGAGCGTTGTGCTCTCAGTGATACATCTCAGGCTCTGGCTTACAAATGTTGCCAAATCACAGCACATGAAACACCTTCAAATCTGCTCATACTGGCATCAAGAATAGGGTTGAGTGACCTCATTAGTACCATCCCATTATTCCATTATTATGACACGTTAAACTAGCATCTCTACAAGTTAGTTAAGCAAGGGAGCTGAGGTCTGTTTTATCCGAGATCTCTACACAGTGAAAATTACTTTGCAACCACAAACCTCGCACTCCCCTAATGGCCAATAAAAAGAAAGCGGGTTTCAGGTACTTTTCAGATCCAGAAGCTACATATATCTTTAATACAGTCTACCATAAGTAGAGTTACTGACACAAAACTAGAACAAGGCAGATTCAATGTAATATAAATGTGCAAAACAACATTTGATCACTGATCATATCTGTTATTAATCTCTGTCTCTCTTCCACAGCATGTCTTTATCCTGTTTTTCTTCTTTTGCTCCAACTTGTCGCAGCAGATGGCCCCGCCCCTCCCTGAGCCTGGTTCTGCCGGAGGTTTCTTCCTGTTAAAAGGGAGTTTTTCCTTCCCACTGTCGCCAAAGTGCTCACAGGGGGTCATATGATTGTTGGGTTTTTCTCTATATCTATGAAGCGCTTTGAGGCGACTTTTGTTGTGATTTGGCGCTATATAAATAAAATTGAATTGAATTGAATTGAAACAATCAGCCATTGGCACGAAGCTAATGACTGATTGATATTACATTCTACCATTATAAAAGGTATGCCAGTAGAGCAGAATAGCAGTAGTATAGGTTCTTAGAAAACAGGTCTTTATTCCACAGACAGGGGAAAAAGCACAGTATGTATCAATTTAAGAGCAAAACACTTACATGTACTGTGTGTGCATCAGAACAGTTCCTGTCTGCTACTCACCATGGAGCCACTGTACAGAAAGCCCCGTCGGCTTCTGATCATTTCCTTTCAAAGACCAATGTACAGTTCACTCTGTCAGGTAGGGTTCTTACAACCTTGGCAGAAACGGAAGCATTAACAATCCTCACAAAGAGCAAGGCAAACTTCCCACAGATTTTTCTCCTTTTTTTTCTCTCCTGGATATAATCAAAGGCCAACCAAAGAGCCCACCGTCAAACTTTTCAAAGCACAGCACGACGCCCCCTCAAAGCTTGTTTAGAGGCATGCTTTTGGTCTCATCACTGCAAGCTGGAAGTAGTGAGTGAATAAGTTTAGTGCAAGTGCGATTACAGGGAACGGAATCTATTTACAGCTAAATATCTCTGCTGCTAAACTATTGTGTTCGCCTTGTTTTTGACCCTCCCAAAGTTGACTGTGATGATAAATGTGTTCGAGGGAGGTGGCGAAGAGGTGAAGGAAACAGACTAACGACACAAGAACATGTTTTGATTATCACTCAGTCGTAAG